TCCTTGCTATCATTTGTACAACTACAGTAGAGAGACATTGGGGGGGAGGAGGGATTTAGTCAAGGTAACTGTGAAGTTAAAAGGTCCATTGAGACTCCTAGAAACCTATCCTATTAAATGACTGCATCAGAACTCAAGGCAGAAGCCTGCTGGTCTCTCGGCCCTTGAGGCAAGAAAGGCTATTACCACTTTCTTTTCCTGTATACCCAAAGAAAGAAAATGAACATTTTGCATAGAACAAACTTATAACTTGAAATGTTTTCAAAATTCTGATAATTAGTTCAGAGTCATGTTTCTCTGGATGATAGAGGAGTGGAGGGTGTGCGCATGCTTCTACCCCACCAAGTATCAAGCTCCTACCACATTCAGAACTTCATTATAGAAATGCCTCACTGTATACCAAGCAGGGTGTTATTGTTGCAGGTGTATGTATTCCTGTTTACAGGATATGGATGGGGTAAGACTAGCTGAATGAGTCTGATCTGGGTACTGGTGTCTAAAAATCCACAACTTAAGGAAGATCTACCTCTTAGCAGTAAGCCTTGTGTGTTCACTTCAGTGATACAAACATCTCGGCCTGTGTATCAGCTGGTCGCCCCATAGAATGATAGACTCGGATCTGTTTTCTAAACCTTTGTTTGACTAATTTGTGTGAATGAAAACAACTCGTCTATCTGAAACAGCAGCTTCAGTTCAGGATTTCCTGCTTGTCTGTTGCAGGTTACTTAATATCCTCACCAATAGCTTGTTATAAAACATCAAATCTTGTTTCCTTCATCCTGGTTAGATTTGGTGCATAAGGCTGTTTTTGAAAAGTTGAAGCACTTTATTTTCTGATAGGGTTACCATATTTCCAGTTTCAAAAAGGAGGATGCCTGTCAGGGAGGGAGGGTAATATGTTTGTGGGAGGGAGCAGTGCTATGCCCATGCCCTACCACAGCCTTCCCAGTGCCCCTCACTCCTGACCTGCAACCCCTGTTCCCCTCTAGCCCTGCAAGCATCACCTGGATGCCCTGCCCCTGTGAGCACAGGCATCTGCACGGCCTGGCCACACAGCTCCCTGCTGCCCCTCCCCAGCTCTCCCTTCCTCTGCTAGAGGACCAAATGGCTCCCCTGCCTTGCTGAAGCTGGGGAAAAATTCAGTGCTAAGCAAAGCAAATTCCCAAATCGCAGACATTTGTTGACATCTTAAAAAGCCACCTGGATGGAGATGGGAGGACCCAAAAAGAGGATGCGTCCAGAAAAAACCAGACATGGTAACCCTGTTTTCTGAGATTGACAGTATTCATGCTGCTGAAGTTACAGTTTTTGGCAAACTTCTGAACCATTCCTAAAGTGTAAGGAACTGACGGCCAGGTGGTCTGTCCTAGTGGTTAGACCACTGGGGAAGGGCAAGAGGCAAACCACTGCCCCTGTCAGGGGCAGGAATCGGAGACCAGGTTACTGGATCCAATAAGAAATCCAGAGACAGAGCCCCAAAACATAGACTGGGTCAAGTTTTGGGAGTTAGATGCCGAGATACCAAGGGAATTGGCAATCAGGTCTCATGGTAGAGGTGATATCTCTCATTAGACCAAAAGATTTTTGCAAAAAAAAATTCTTTAATTGCAAGTGTCTGGGCACAAACATCCTCCAAGGGGGCATTCAGGGGCAGGATCTGAGTCACCTGCCAAGTCAAGGTTTCCGTGGCAGAGACGGAAATACCAGATCTAAGGGGAAATCGGAAAGCCAGATTCCAGGAACAGAGCCAGGCTGGGGGCAGGGACTAGGAAACCAGGAGTACCAGATCAGAGGCTTGCCAAAGCAGACCTT